GTAAGCCTAACTGGCCTATAGTTCCCCGGGTCCTCCTTCTTCCCCTTTTTGAAGATGGGAACCACGTTGGCCCTCTTCCAGTCCTCCGGCACCACACCAGAGCACCACGAGTGCTCGTAAAGCCATGCCAGGAGTCCTGCAATGACCTCGGCCAATTCCTTTAGTACTCTAGGGTGGAGATCGTCCGGGCCGGCTGACTTGAATGCGTCCAGTCCCTCCAGAAGCTCCCTAACTAGTTCCTCACTAACCCTTGGCCCAGGTGTGCCTCCCCTGGGGCCTGAGGGGGGCCCAGCAGGGAGGTGGCTGTTCTGGTCCCTACTTAGGAAGACAGAGGCAAAGAAATCGTTAAACATGTTAGCTTTGTCGGTGGCCCATGTGCTTACCTGCTGGGGTGGGCAGCCTGGCAGGCGCTGCAGAGGGCTGGGGCAGCAAGGTGTCCGAAAACAGTGCACTGGCCAGGTCCTGCAGGCAGAGCCATAGGGGGCACAGGGTCACTACGGGGACCCCCAGCAACCTCAGCGCAGGCTCTGCCAGTCCTTAGTCCAGCGCCAACCCAGAGGCAGGATGGAGGAACCTCAGCCCCCGTTCTCTGGGTCCTGGGATAGCCCGAAGTGAGACGCACCTGCGCAGCCGCCCGGACTTTCTGGTACAAGCTGTTGCCGTGCAGAGGATCCGGGGGACCCGCGAAGGCTGCGAGGCAGAAGTGGGTGGTGAGGGGTCAGTCTGGGCTGGACGCGGCACCGTCTAGCCTCAGCGCAGCTCTGCAAGGGCAAAGTGCAGCCCACTGCAGACCCAGCCCCCACCCCAGACACACCGCAGCCTGCTGGGGTGCCAGGGACCTGCCCTGGGGGGTGTGCACCCATCTGGGCATCAGCACTACAGGGACGAGCCCTCTTCCCACCAAGCAGCTGGTGCGACCATCGTGCAGAAGCACCCTGGCCCACAGCTGGTGCAGACCAGCAGCAACTTGAGCTCCCAGCGGCAGCTGGGAAAAGGTCCCAAGCTTCCCTGCCCCCCTCCCCAGGGTCACACCAGTGCAGATGCTCCCAGGGGGCCACTGGGGAACAGCTGCTGTTTGCAGCAGCTTTGCAGAGCCCCGGGGAGCACAAGGCACTGGGCTGATGTCCACCCAGCCCTGCCCAGGAGCAGCCTGATGACCCAGGGCTGAGGCAGGGCACACAGAGGCCTGGGCTACCTGCTGCTTCCTGGATGAAGGTGGAGTTCCTCTTCAGCTGGAGGAGGAAGGGTGACGAGCCGTGCGCACACATGTACAGCAGGATCTTCAGCACCTGCAGGCACAGGGGAGGCTCTGGGGGATGTGCCCAGGGCCAAGCCAGGCCACGCTGATCTGCCCGCCCTCGGCCCCACACTCAGCCCCCACCTTGACCCCGGTGCTACCTTCAGCTTGACGTGGCAGGAGCGGCTGTGCAGGCGGGCAAGGAGGGGCTCCAGCAGGCACTGGCTGCTTCCCGGTGACTCATGGGAGATCTCTGAGAGGCAGAGGGTTAGGAAGCATCGCTCGGTGCGGGCTTGCTCCCCATACCCTCGACCGCAGCCAAACCCCCCGACCTCGGACCCTGCCTGTCCTGCTGCAGCACTCAGGGGGGGCCTCCCACATGCCCTCGCAATCCCCTAGGGCCACTAATGCCCCACTCCCATGTCCGGCCCATCACCGCCCCCGAGCCCAACCTCAAAGGATACTGGCAATTTCCTCCAACAGGTACCCTGGGCAGGGGGCATCATCGTCCAAGGTGCTCTTGATCAGCGTGGGCAGCTGGAAGAGACGTGGTCACCAGGGCGTGGCTGGCAGGGGCCCCGCAGGCCTGGGAGACTCCCGCAGACGCCAGCCGGACGCTGTCCGGAGATGCCGGCGCGGCCTGTCGTGGGAGGGGAGGGCGCACCCGCCGGGACGGGCCTGGGGGAGTGCCCGGCCCAGCCTCGCTCCGCTCTCAGCCGAGGCCCGAGCCTCCCTGCGCTCCCCCAGGTGTGATGCCACAGGGGCGCTGTGACATCACAGTGGGTGAATGGGGCACAGCAGTGACATCGCAGCAAGAAGGGGAGTATGGCTATGACATGACAACGAGTGAATGGGGTAGGGGTGACATCGCTGCAGGAAGGGGAGTACAGCTATGACGTCATGCCGGGAAATGAGGCAGAGCAGTGACATCACAGCCCCCACGGAACACAGCAGTGACACGGGGGGGGCGAAATGAGAAGGCAGCGACGCAACAGCGACCGAGGGAGCACTGCTATGACATCACGGCGGCTGGGCGGGGGGGAGCGCGTCGGTGACGTCAAGGCCAGCGCCGTGACATCATGACAGGGCGATTCCCACTCCCAGCCAAACCCCTAGCCCCAACCCCTAGCCCAGCCCTGGGGAGGAAAGATGGGGGGACAGCGGCCCTGGCCCCGGCCCCGGGAACCCTCACCCGGCTCAGGAAACTCAGCCGGTCCCTCAACGGCGCCGCCATGACTCTGCCCTGCCCGACCTGGCCCCGGCCTCGCGACTCCGCCTCCCGGAAACTCATCTGCACCAATCAGAGAGCGATCTTTCCCAGCTCGCCCAATGGGTGTGGGGAAGAGGCGGGGCTCCAGAGGGAAGCAGCCCGCGTTACCGACGCCATCAGGGCCGAGGCAGCGAAGGGCAGTCAACTACCAGTCAGCGCGTCCAATCAACAGCCCGCGTTGCGCAGCCGGCCCAATCAGAATGAACAACGGAAGTGAGCGGGACCTAAGAGAGGCTGAGCAAAGGCTGCACCAATCCAAACCCGAGGGGGCTCTGATGGGCGGGGCGGTAGACCTATCAGACCTCGATCGGAGGGGGGCGGCCCAATGAGGGGCGAGGGAGAGCAGAGGCCCATGGGAAGGTGACCCAACATGGCGGCGCCCTGGCTGCGCGCTCGAGAGCGGTTGCGGCGCATCCCCGAGGTGCTGGCGGGCTGCCGGGACCAGGTGGGGACCAGGGGCGGGGCATATCGCGACATCCGATGTTTATGTTGCGACATGAACGGGCGACTCTGGAGCTCAGCGCCTGCCCTGGTTTCCCCTTTCAGGCTGCAGCGTACGGGAGGTGCGTGGCGGCCGCGACGGCGGGCCGGGCCGAGCTGCGGAAGGACGCGTGCGCCCGCGAGTTCGAGGCGCTGAGGGCCTGCGTCGCCCGGGCGGTACGGGACCGGGGAGCGGGAATCGTCCTGTCGTGATGTCACTGCGCTAGCCTTAACGTCACCGGCGCCGCCGGCATGATGTCATAGCTGTGCTGCCTCGGTCGACGTTACGCGTCTGCCTTCTCATTTCGCCTGTCCTGGTGTTACTGCTGCATCTTCTGGGCCGCTGTGATGTCACAGCTCTGCCCTGTTCACTTGGTGTGGTGTCATAGCTGTGCTCCCCTTGTTGTAATGTCACTGCTCTGCCCCAGTCACCTAGTGTGCTACCAGACCTGCGCTCCCCTTCTTGCTGTGATGTCACAGCTCTGCCCCACTTCCCTGATGTGATGTCATAGGCATGCACCAAGGAAGCAGTGACACTAGATCGCGTTTGAAGCAGCCTAACCCCATAGGGAAGAGGCTGTCTAACCCCTTGGCTGGACAAGAGCCTCTTTCACCTCTGGTCTGCGGCCGGTTTCTGGTGCATCTGTTCCCAGCCTGCCCCCGTGGCATGGCAAACCTCCGGGTGACTCCTCTGCATCCCGTATTTTTACAGGGAAAGGCGGCTGCGAAGTGACACAAGTGGAACCATGAATGATCCAGGACCTGGATTTATAGCTGCTCTGGGGCTCGGCCGGCTGGAATCGGGGCATTTCCGAGCCTGACAGCAGCTGCCTGCTCTCAAAGGATTAGATGGGAAGGAAGGAAGTGGACCAGTGGGCTAGACACAGGAAAGCTGCAGGCCCCAGTCAGGTCACAAACTAGGCCTGTCAATAAAGGCCTGGAAAAGGCTTCTGAAACTGCTCGGAGCTGTGTCTGCGCTCAGGTTTTATGGGGTAAACTGAGTTGCCCCAAGAACGTGGCTCCTCCAGCCATCAGGGCCCCCAGAGACCTGACTTGGCCCCAGCTGCTCACCCGCTGGGCAGCTCTGACCAACACAGCGCCTCGGGCCAGGCTCCACTGTGAAAAGTAGTGTTGCGGCAGTGGGCTGCCCTGGGGACTGGGTACCCGCTCCCCTTCCTGCCCAGAGCTGGAGGAACTGGGGCGGGGGATGCAGAATGAGGCATTTAGGAGCAACTCCCCCTCGCTGTCACACAGGCTGGAATGAGGTCATCCTGCCTGATGCTCACGTGAGGGACAGTGGGCTTGACTTCTGTTTGCTGCAGGGAGGAAGCTGGATGGCAAACCAGATCCAGCGTGGGCACGGGCTGTTCCATCAGCCCTGACAGCAAAGCATTCGAGGGCCTAAGGCAGGCCTACGTCCCAGGCTGCTGCTCCTCGTATCACAGCAGCTGTGCTATAGCAGCCATGCCCAGGGCTACGTTATAAGAGGCAACGTAAGTGCTGGCAATGCAAAAGAAGGAAGGGAGACTTGGTTCCTAGTTAGACCCAAGGCTCCCTTGCTTGGACTTCTCTGAGAGCAAGAGATGCCCTTGCACTAAGGGCTCAGCACACCCAGTGCAGGGGCACTACAGGGCAGGCAGACGGAGGCCTGCTGTTCTTTCACAGCCACTGAGGGAGGGGAAGAGCTGGAAGGAGCTCTGTTTGCCTCTGCAGGCATTCCCTACTGGTGCAGAGCAACAGATGCCATCCCCCCTCCCCTATGCCCCCCGCCATGTCCAGACCCTGCCGAGAAATGCTCTGCACACGCCTTCAGATAGAAATGCTTCAACTTTTATTGGTCTGTTGGGCTCGGACCCCTGCTCCGAGCGCAGAGAGGTAGGGGGGGTCCCCACCTTGGCCCGGCCCAGCACGAGGAGGTCTCGTTCACAACAGGATCCAGCCGTGCTGGCTGGGGAATGTCAGAAGCATCTTTGGTCCTTTGGCGATGGTGCAGGCACGCTGCTGTCAGCGCAGGGCAGGAGACGGGCATGTTGGATGAGCCAGCATTCACGTGGTGAGGAAGGTGGAGGAAGTGCAAAGAGGGGGAAAGTGGCAGCATCTCTCCTTCCCTCACCTCCCTTTGTAGGGGCAGCTGCAGCAGCAAGGGGAGGTATTTGATTCAGCCAAGACCTCAGCTGCCTGCCCCAGCTCCAGCCTGCATTTGACAAACACCACACAGTGGGAGAGGTCTCCAGCCGACAACGGAGCTGACAAACCTTCCCGGCTGCATTACATTGTGCTTCGAGATGGGGCACCTCTGAGTATTGCAGGGAATCCTGACGATTAAGGCCACGATGATCGTATCAGATGCGCAGGAGAGCGAGGGTACGGGTCACCTTGTGAGCAGGTGTGGCACTGACGACATGCAGGAAACAAGCCCACGTTATAGGGCAAAGTCTGGTTCTTCCTTGCCTGGGAGACCCAGGTATCATGGCCTGAAGGCAAAGTCTTCCCTGTAGCTTGTCCGTCTGGCAGGCCGCTGCAACACCTCCATGTATGACAGCAACCTAGCCCCTGAACCTGGGATGAACTGCAAGAGGCTAAGACAACAGTTATACGCATACAAAACCACCACAGTGCTGCGGTCTCGGGGCGTTCCCGTCCTCCGAGGAAAAGCTTTGGGTCCGGGTTTGCTTATGTTCCACCTTTAATGTGGCTTCGTCTGTTGACATTTACCAAGCAACGGTCACTCCCTGGCAGGCTGCCTCACGATGGGTTTCCGTTTGTTGCTCCCACAAGAACACCCATGGATTCAAACACCTTGTAGGCCAGGTCTGGGGAAAGATGGACCCTGCCCAGGGAGAAGCGAGGTAGGTAGGCAGGCCTGAGCCAGCTCTGCTCCGCACGGTCCCTTTTCAGCCATGCTTGCAGCAGCCTGAGCTGCTTCTACTGGGGAGGGAGGCACCGGCTGTGCCCAGCGTGAGCCCCTGAGTGTGCCAGGGATGGGGGAGCTCCCAGGTCAGACATGCAGACAGAAACAGTCCTGTTCAAGGCGGGAGGGTGGAAAGCGGGGAGTCCTCATTATTGCCAAGCGGATCCCTGGGAGCCAGAGGCAGCACAACAGCAGGTGTCATGCCTGTTTAAGGCGGCATCACAGACTGACTCCGCCTGTTCCTAAAGCAGGACTCCGCCCCCCACCTCCCCACCAGGCATATGAGGCCAGTGGACGCATGCTCGTGTGCTTCAGAGCAACAGGCCTCTGAGCCCACCGCACCCTCTGCCTGGACTGGTCTGCTCTCCACAGCATCCCCCAAGATCTGGGTCTGCAGAGACACTTTGGACAGCATGGCAGGGACCTGGTCCTGGAGAGAGATGTCGGCACAGGAGGGATAAGGCAATTCATTGGGCACGAAGCAGACAGAGGTCCTTGGAAAGTGTGTGGTAGGGGGGTTGGACTCCTGAGCTGGCAAGTGACCTCTGAAAGCCAGAGGACGGTGGGAGCTTTTCTTTCAGCGTCACTGACAATCTCAATCTTGTCACCCCCCACAACACACTCAGGCAGGAATGTTAAGCCTGGCCGGGCAGCTCCAGGGGGAGTTGCTGCAGGTCAGAGCCCAAAGGCCAAGGCCACGTGAACTGCTGCTCACTAAGACCATCAGCCCCTTAGTCACAGCCAAGTGGTCCCTGGCTAACCCAACCCCTCAGCACTGGCCACCCGCGGCACCCCCAAAGCACGGCCTGCCCGTCACCCGTCCTCCTCGGCTGCAGGCACCTGCTTGATCTGCCGGCTGTGGATGACCGGCTGGGCGCCTCCTGCTGCCTGGTGCAGCTGCGTCTCCAGCGCACCGCGCAAGTCGTTCACTTTCACGTCAGGGACGGGGTGGAGGCCAATGAGGATGCCACCTCCCGCCGCCGCGCCTGCCCCCTCCTCCTCCTCCAAGTCCCGGCGCCGGCGCCGTAGGTCCAAGTCTGCCTGCAGCTTCAGGTCCCGATTGGGCTTGCCATGGTCACGCTCCACTTGCTCATCCCTGCTGGTGGCCGCCCCCTTCTCAGGCTTCAGGGCAACCTCGAGTTTGGAGTTCTGCTGCTTCCCAGGCTCCTCGCGCTTGTCATCCACATGCCTTGGCTTTCCCTGAGCCTCCTGGGCCTCGTCTCTGGCTTTCTCCTGGACACTTTCTGGCTTGGCCTGATCTCTCAGGTGGCCCACCCGATTGCCCCCGTCAGCATCGGCAGCCTGCAGGGACTCCACCTTGTGCTGCGTGTTCTCCACACGCAGGTTCTTTGCAGCATCGAGTGGGGAGCCTGGGTCCTGGGGCTCTGCACCATTTGCTGCTTTGTCTTTCCGCTCTGGTCCAGGGTCTCTTTTCGGACTCTGGCCTGCTGCTTCCTGAATCCTGGGTGCCCTTGGTGGCTCTCGCTGTGGGTCGCCAGCAGGCCCGGCCACCACAACACCTTTTGGCACATGATCCCTCTTCTCCTGCAGCTTGCCAACAGCTTTAGCTTCATGGCTTCTCCCCAGCTCCCTGGCCACGGCTGCCTGCTCGGGAGGGTTCCCTGCTGCCTGGGCGGCAGGCAGAGGCTCTCCAGCCTTTTCCATGGAGCTCTTCCCAGCCTGGATTGCCTCGTGCAGCGGGACTTTCCCATCCTTTAGTGGCACCGCAGGGATTTCACGCCCATGCCCAGCCTCTTTCTGCATCTCCTCATTCCCTCTGCGCTGCTCTGCCAGGTTCAGGGCTGGGCTGTCAGGCCCAGGCTGAAGCTGGCTCTGCTTTTCTTTAGGGATGTGCTTGGCAGCACCATCTTCTTGAAGATCTTGGCCTGCTTCCTCTTTGCTCTGTGCGGGGGCTGCACCAAGCTCGGGCTGCACTTCTGCTGCAGGAACAGAAACCAAGAGCCTGTTTGTACAAGGACCCACCTTTGTGGGGAGCTTGTGTTGCCCCAGACCAGGGAACAACCCCTCAGGAACAGACACCTTACCTTGCTTCGGCCTCTCCTCACCCCCCTCCTCCTGCCTCTGCTGGTGGATCTCCTTGTGCTGCTCTTCAATCACAGCCAGCAGTTTGGCCTGCTGGTCCAGCAGCTGCTTCTGCTGCACCTGCTGCTCCTTGATCACCTGCAGCAGCACAGCATGGTCCAGCA